GAATCATATTAAAGTTCAGTTATAAAATTTGTAATTTACCCATAAAAAATTAAAGCTCTAAACTATTAACTATTCATGTATTATTGTAGTATGTTTTAAGAATGAAATGATTTAGGGACTTAAAACAAGAATGAAAATAATTTAAGAATATATATTGATGAAAAATAATTTAGGCATTTACAGCAGTTACACTTTAATAATATATTATGACAAAAAAATTAGGGATTTACGATAAAAAAAGATAATGTATTTTAAGAATTTTTTAAGGTTTTTAAGGATTCATTAATATACTACAGTTTATGATTTTATAATTATCTTTTAATTATGATACAAATATAATAACATATGGACAAGTTTTAGATTATATAGAAGTATACAAGGAAAAGGTTGGATTTTCTCATATATGAAACTATTGATGAAGAGAATAAATGTGGTCTATTATCGTATAAACTTGCATGATTCTTATAATCTGCTTTTCGTTGAAACGAGCGGTGCTGGTAATGCCCCCGGCCCCTTGCAGCCATGTCTGATCTGGTCTGGCCCCTCGCAAACTACTTGTATGTCAGCTTTGGACACCTCTACATGAACAGAGTAGGCCAGAAAATATAATCCTACTTGGTTTGTTTTAAAATAATCCTACTAATGGTTAATTCTTATGATAATATTTCGGCTTAAACAATGTCTTATCTTTTTCTTTGGACCTTCCAGAACTGTATTATAATCCGACCAGCATCTTGTTTATAAACGTACCTAGAATTTCCAAGCTACAATGGCATCCTTTTACAGTATCTTCCTATTTCAATATGGAGGCCGATAAGGTCAGCATGATTATTAAAAGTCAAGGAAGTTGGACTCACAAGCTTTACCAAGAGATCAGTACTTCATGTTTGAATCATCTTCAAGTCTCAACCCAAGGACCCTATGGCTATGGCTCTAATTCATCTCATTTTCTCAGGTCAGTTAATAGCTCTTGATACAAACACATTAGACTATTAGAACCAAAATCATAATAAATATGAACAACAAACTAGGATCTAATCATGTCAAGTCATCAGAAATAAAATAAATACTAGATGCGAAAACGTACCTGAATTAATTGATAGATTAAAATCATTGATTCTTTCTTTGGTTGTGATCTTCCAAGAAGAAGATAGAATTCACTTAGGTATAAACTCTCTAACGGGGAAAAGAGAAAATACGAGAGTGTCTATTTCTTGGGGATCATAACCCTTTTATATAACTGATTTAAGAATTAGTTGTTGTTTATACTTATAACTCTACCCCTTATCGAATTATAAATACAACTTTAATAGTATTTACACTTTTATTTCCGTGACACTTCTAATACTTTATGATTTTATAACATAATTAGTCACCTAATTTATGTCATATTTTATTATAAAATATATATTAAAAATATGTACCCATAATTATGGATTTTAATCCAACATACTAATCAGTTTGTCGTTTGTTCATGGTTTAATGGAAAAAAATAATTGCACCATTTTTTTTAATTTTAGATGTCTAGCATGAACCAAACGAACTTGATAGGAGAGGAATTATTATTATTTCTTGAGGTCATGAGTTCAAGCGCATAAAATGTTAAATTATCTTTAGAAAATCGTCATCTAATAGTACTGTGTTTCTATTTTTTTTAAATTTTTATTTAAAAAATAAAAATATTATATTTTAAAAATCTAATTCCCCTTTGTCCCCGTCCCACCACGCACAAAGTGCAAATTCCCTCCCTGTCGCCCCCTCCCTCCTAATATAAACCACCCCTGCATTGGAATTGTTGAGATTAAAAATCCCAGTTGAATCTCACCCCTATTAAATTTAGGGTTTATATATTTAGAGGTTCGAGATGACGATAAAAATGATAGTCGATGAGTGGGTGAATGATAATAGAAGTAGTGGTTAAAGATTATTGAAGACGATTAAAAATAGGGTTTAATATAAGAGATTATTAAATTTTTGGGTTTTTTTTGTAGTCTTAAAGAAATTTAAGTCTTTTTTATAAAATAATAATAATATTTCCAATTTCTTTTTTTAGAAAGTAAATATTTCAAATATATATAAATATAACATATTTCATATAACAATTTTTTTAAAGTCGGTTATGGTACAAGCACTTATAAGAATAACACTGAATATTATGCACCTACTTTGTATACTCTAGTGGAACACCCAACTCTCTAGCCACATAGATAAAATATTATGCACCCTAGTTTGAAGGTCAAATTATGATATTCATCCTTATACTCTACCCAACTTGATATTTAATCACTGTAACTTTTTTAACTATAAGTGCCCTGCCTATCCTTTTTATGGAGTGAGCTTAAACTAATCTTATTGAGTTGGGTAGGACCACAAAGATGACAAAGCTCTCTTATAAAATATTTAAGGTTGTTGCCTTCTCATACGTTCATGTTGAAGGATTAAATAGGCCTTAGGGGTTCAACAACTAATAATAGAAATCAGTTAAATGTTTTTTTTTTTCAATAAAAATGAAAAAGATAAATAGATCAGGGGCTACTCATCACTTAATAAAAGAAAAATATCATTAATTTACTAAGTGGCTAGAGAGCTGGGTGTTCCACTAGAGTAGACAAAGTAGGCAGAGAGTAGTGCTTTCCTAATGGTTACAGTCCATATCATTGTCGTTGCTCATCAAAGGTGTTATAGAAGATGATAATTGTTGATCAGCATAATCGTTAATGGATTAAGAATTAAGATAACGACATATCTTTTCGGGAATTTGATCCAAGCCTTAACAATTAAGATATATTTGGATATTCAAATCAAATAAGATGATCGTCATACTTACTAAAGTAATTTGATGTCCGAACGTTCTCATGCTTTTATCGTAATTATTTGTTGTTCTCAGTTGTAAGCTTGTTAGAGAAGTATTGGCGGTCCTAGACTTCTTCCCGAACCATTTAACCCCAAGTTAGGCTTCTTGTCCAATCACTGCAATGGTACCGATACTAAGCTATTTAGTATTGATACCGACCTTATAGTATTTGTACCCTCCTTTGATATCAATACCAGTTTTACATTCGATGTCCTGAGACCGCCTTATAATATTGATACCCTTATTTGGAGTATCGGTATTTCTCTATTAGGGTAGCGTACCATATTGGGTACCAATACCAAATTAGGTCCGATGTTTAGGAAAATAAATCGGTATCGATACCCTTACTTAGGGTATTAGTACTTCTTCTATGAGTAGTACCGATACTTTCCAAGTACTAATATCAAAATTAACTATTGAAATTTACAATTTAACGATAGTATTGATACCTCACCCTTGGGTATCAATACCCGAGGAACATTATCAATACCCTATTAACAGAGTGATGATACTGTATGACCAAAAACTCCTTTATTTTGACCATCTGAAAAAAATTATCGATATTGTTCATCCAGTATCGATACTCAGACCCATAATTACTCTATTTACCCGAAAATAACACCCCAATTTCACCCTTAAGCTTTCATAAACCCTCAAACATTATTCAAGTCTTATGTAAGTCAAAAGTGGTCATGATAGGTAAATTTTCATGTTGTATAACATCATAAATCACAATCTACTATGGATGCTCTTGCATGCTCTATGAACTAATACAAGTCAGCCAAGCACCTACAATGAGTTACAAGTGGTATAGGAAAGTTTGAAGTATGTTACTTTGATCCTAAGCTGTTGGAACAACTCAAGGTTCAACTAGGTGCTAGCTTTTCCTTGCCTTTTCTCTTAAAACTTTCTTCAACTTTTTTCACTAATCAAGAGACAAGTAATGAAGTTACTAATTTATTTAGGAACGTAAAAGGAAGTTAATAAGGTTCCCTAAGGCTCAAAACTACAAAATAATAATAATAATGAATAAATAAGTTGGTTTAGTAAGAGTTTCTAGACCCATTAAACCCCCAGATATGGCTACAATGGCTAGATGTTGATATCGAGGGCTTGAATGGAAGCTCTAGGGGAGAGATTATGATTCTTACCTTCAGAATTTCAGACTAAACTTACAAGGCAACAAAGTTACTTCATTTCTCTAAGTTGCAAGAAGAAAGAAGAGATATTTTGAAATGGAGAAGGAGACAACAATAGTGAGGAAACTGAGAAGAGAATGCATCTTTGTTTATTCTCTCATCCGAATGACCTCATTCCCATAAATGAGATTCAACCTTTGAAAAATAAAATGGGTTAATCACCTCTCTGGTCCCTTTAATTTACCTCCAACTCAAAAATATCCTTTTATCTCTATTTGGGCTCAATTAAAGCCCAAACCAACTCAATTTTGGACCAAGGTTTCCTACATGGGTAATGGATTTATCCAAAACCTTCTCGGGTCAACCCAAAACAACTAACATGAGATTTGAGACGTTACAAAAATAATTTTCATCACAAATAACCTGCTTTCTGTGACAAAATTCTTTAATATCACAATTAAATAGTCACTAAAGATCATACTTCTTAATGAAATGGATAAATTTATAACTTACAATTAATTAAATGATCAATTTATAATTTTTCACAATGGAAATATTCAATAATAATAAAAATCTTATAATCAAAAGATTATTTATATATTTTACCCTATTAAAACTATGAGACAAGCCGCATATAAAACGTCTTCCCGGGTTGGAGATGGACGGACATTTGATCTCTGAATATCAGATTACATTGAGTTAATGTAATTTTCTACCAACAGCCTTTCCCCCCGTAAAAGGTACACTTTTTCATATTTTCACTTTTACTCAGTTATGATGAGTAGTCCATGTTTCCTTCTTTCCTGGGATTCAAAGGCAAACGAAAAGGTGTTTGATCCAAATGCAACGGCTACTTGGTTATTCCCTTGTATAACAAGTAGAAAAGGCAACCGGTCATTCCCTTTTTTACAGCTCGGCAATGGCTCCCCCCCCCATCAGATCTCCATACTTTTCTTCTCCTTTTTGCATCGATAAAAACCGGCTCCATTTAACATCAATCACAAGAAATGTCCACTACATCGAAACCCCATCCGTGGCTGAGAACAGCCATGAAAATGTCCCTCAAGAGACTGCCCATTCTCCACAGCTTGGTATCCAAGTCCAGCCATATACGTACCAAGATGAAGAAACCCATGATGATTCATAAGCTTGTTTCTATCAAGAAACCCACAAAGCTTAATAGGTTTAAGCTCCTCAAGCATTACAACTATGGCTACCTTGGAGGGTATCAGTTTGACTCCCCTTCGAGCACTCCTCTTATTCGCTACTGCAACCGAGAACACGAGGTCCAAAACAGAAGCATCCATGATTTTTACTCGGTGCTGCTTTGGTGCAAGTGTTTTGGTAGCTTGAAAGCTCAAGTGAGAGAAGATGTGGCTGCTCCCATGGAATTGGCAATGGCAGGGGGAATAGATTTTGAAGAAGATGATGGAGATGATGATTCAGTTGATGCGAGGGCTGAGAGATTCATTGAAAATTTCTACGCAGAGATGAAGCTGCAGAGGCAGGAATCGTTTTGACTGAATCAATCCCTTCACTCTTTGTTTCTTTAAACTATTTGCTTCAATTGAAGTAAAATACTTGGTATTTCTCTTCTTTTTCACTGATGGAGTTTCCAATTGTTGTTAAAGTTATTTTTTTACAATAAATTATCTTAATCTATAAATCAAGGTTCTTAACCTCGAAGTCGTGGTATCGAGTTCCACGGAGAGCATTTCATAATTTGGAGGTATTCTACGGGAGCTGCTCTCAATCTGGTGTTGGGGGCAGCCTACTATCTTACCACCCCTTACCCACATATGGGAACAAGGAACAACCATTTATCTTAATCTATAAATGGATCTACAAATAATAAAATAAAAGTAAAATTGATTCTATTCAATTACAAGAAATTATCTTAATCTATAAATAGATTTACAAATAATAAAGTGAACTTATTTACAACTCTTTTCAAGAAATCTGTGAATTGCCTATGAAAGAAGCACCAATAGATCTATTAGTTGATAAAATTAACTCAAAATATCTATATTATCTCGTATTGTATGGTTTCGATCTTTAACATTTATTTTAAAAAATGTAATACATTTTCATTTAATCATAAAATAAAAGAAGCACTAATAAACTCTTTAAGAATGATATATCCTCTGTTATCAATCCCCTTCTTTTCCAAATAAAATTTGAAAAGGTTGGATTGAAATCTATTCAAATTTGAGTTTAATATTTAGGATTTAGAATATGTTATATTAAACTAATAGAATCTGTTAGTTTATTAAATTAAAAAAATCTAAATTATAAGAAAATTACGATAAATTATCTATTTAATCATTTGTTTATTTTTTATATTTATTTTGATCATCCAATTTTTTAAAATCATCTATAATATTTACGTTTTATTTCTATTTTAATCACTTACGGTCAGATCCACCTCAATGGCTTCCAATTCTCCATGGATCTAGAAAGTCATCAATTATGTTAGTTCGTCAACTCATTCTCCATATTCATAGACGACAACAGTATCAAAAGAAATTAAAAAAAATGATTTTGTACACTGATAAATAAACTAAAGGATAAAATACACAAATGGTTCCCCGACTATTAAAAATTATAAATGGTTACTCGATTATTTATTATGTTCCAAACTCGTTCTTTTCCGTTAAAAAATTAACGGTCATATGAGTTGGATGTAACATGTTGACTGAGATATGATAATCGTTTGAGACTATGAGATCAGATTTTTTTCATATCTCAGGCAGCATGTTAACGTATATCTCAGACTGTAGTCAAATTTTTAACAGAAAAAGGACAAGTTTGAAACATAATGAATAGTCGAGTGACTATTCTGTAACTTTTAATGGTCAAGGGACTCAACAAAGCAACTCTCTATAATTAGAAGACTATCTAGTAACTTTTAATAATCGAATAACTTAATAAAATAATATTTTATAATCGGAGACTATTTAATACTTTACCCTAAAATAAAATGAAAAGACGTGCTAATAGAGCATATAAAAAAATGCTACGAAAGCAGATACCTTAATATAAACATTAAATTCGTTAAGATATCTATCTATAAATAGTCAGTGGAGTGGTAAGGTACATATGGATATATTAGAAGACGAATTATAAACTCTGAATATGAACAATAAAATATAGTCACAATTAGATATGTAGAATAATTTTATACTCTAATAATAAATATCATTAAAAATGTAAATGAATATATATGGTTTTGGTTGTTTTGACATGCGATGAGTATGAATTCCTAAACAACAAAAAAATAAAATTAATCTGCAATAATTGAAGCCTCCGTAGTAAAGAAATACTTGTTATTCTTTGAGGACTCGGGTTCGAGCACTATAAATGTCAAGAATGTATTGTAAGTGATCAATATCGAAAAATTGAAAGTTATCTTTAAACATATATTACTATATACTTACCTTGATTAATTGGAGAATGAATATGGGGAAATTTAAGCGACAAATGACTTAAATCCTGGTTAATATTTGTTCATATAGTTTCAATAGACTTATTAAATTTTCAAAGACAGGAGCAGTTATTAAATTGACATATCCATACTTAAATTACGGGTAAGCTACACATCTAGTACTCCAACTATCACTTTTGTTTCATTTCAGTCATTCAATATTGTAGACACTCATTTTCGTACATTTTTTATTATTATTATATATATATATATATATTATAGTTTGAAATCATTTTGAAAATTATATAATATATGGTTTTTTGAAAAAAACATTTTGAAAATATATAATATATAGTTTTTGAAAACATATATATTATATAGTTTTTGAAAACATATATATTATATAGTTTTTGAAAACATATATATTATATAGTTTTTGAAAACATATATATTATATAGTTTTTGAAAACATATATATTATATAGTTTTGAAAACATATATATTATATAGTTTTGAAAACATATATATACTATATAGTTTTTTAAAAAATATTTTTGAAAATAACTATATAATTTTTTTGAAAACATTTTTAAATATATATAATATATAGTTTGAAAATACTTTTGAAAATATTATATATAGTTTTAAAAAATAATTTTTTGGAAAACATATGTTGTATGGTTTTGAAAACAAGGTTTTTGAAAATAAATAATATATAATTTCAAAAATGATTTTTTTATTTTTTATTTTTTATTTATTGTTTATTAATATATATTTATTTTTTATTTATTTGATCAGGTCTAAAGTTGAGGTCTGAATAAAAGGGTCCAAGTCCGGAGTTCAACAGGCCCAACCGGGTAGCCTGACCCAACAGACCCGGTCAGGCCCAAAAAGTGCACTAGGGTTTCCACAGTCAAGCATTACGTCGTATGAGGGTCAAACCACGAAGAATCACACAGGCGAGATATCCGACCATGCACCGGTCACCGAGATTTTCGGCCAAGGGAATCGGGATTGACCCCTCCCGAAACCCCTGGCCAACGATGGGTTGGTTACCGCACTAATCGAAACCGAGGATCACCGGTGAAGGGTATAAATACCCCCTACCAAGCCACTACAGAGGGTACCAACATCGACGACATCAACAGAGGAACATATATCGAGAGCCACGAACCCACAGCAAAAAAAAAACACCAACGACAACCCACAGAATCATCAAAGCCAAACTACAAACCATCATCGAGAGAACCAAAACACGAACCATTGATAGCACGAAAACAGAACCAAAAAACATCATCGACAAGCAAAGATCGAACCAAAATCGGGAGCCACAACAACAACAAAGCAACACCAAAACAAAATCAGAGAAAGAAAAAAAGAGTTTACCACCGTGCGAAGCATCGGGAACGCCAAAGGTCACCGGTGGCTCGGGTTACTTTCGAAAGGTATTCCCTAGATCTACCGGTCTAGGGTTATTTTTAAGCGAAACTAACGTTGTTTTTGGGTGGAGGGGAAAAGAGGATATCTTTTGGGTGTGTTTGGGTCAGTTCCGGCCACCGGTGCCGCCGTCAAAGGCTCCACCGCGGCATCCTTCCCCGACAAGGGGAAATTTGAGAGAGTTCTCCTCTCTGTCTCCCTCTCATTTTTGGTATCCTAAGAGCAAATGAAGGAGTGGCCATTTTTTGGCCTCAAATTATACATTTATATAAAATGCAAAACGACGTAGCTTTGTTCTTTTTGGTTCCGTGTTTTTGAAATTTTTGGGAAAATGCCTTGTTTAGTCCCCTTATTTTGTGATCATGCCATTTAACTATTAATCCAGCTTTCAGATATTGTAAATTGAGCCTTTGTTTTCCCATATTTTCATTTTCGTCAATAATTTATGTATTATGTTTGATGATTTTCAGATTCGGCCCTTTAATTTATGCATCTTCTATTTTAGTCACTGTTTGGTAGTAGGGTTAATTATTATTTAGTCCTCCAACCTTTATTTATTTATTTATTTATTTTTCCTCTCTTTTCACTATTTTATTTCACTTCTGTTTTAAAATTATTATATGTTTTATGTTTTGTTTTCTATTTCTTATTTTCTTCTTAAATCTTTTATTTTATTTATTTTTCTCCTTGATTTAGTTGGTTTTTCCCTTTTGTTTATTTTATTTTTATGTTTTTATTTTTTATCTAACATTTTTCGACTCCTTTAGAAGAGCCCCAACCAATTAAAGGGAAGCAATTCGAATCTGATTTTTAATTTTTAATTTTTACAATTAAAGACAATCGACAAATTAATTGGTACTGAAAGGACGGTTCAAGGGTGCTAATCCTTTCTTGACCGTAACCGACTCCCGAACCTGACACTTTTATGGTAAAACGTAGATCATGTAAGATGATGTTCTATCCACCTAAATGTTTTTTAAAGTGATCGGTGGCGACTCTAACCCAATCCATTTACGTTGAAGCCCAATTTCGGGCCCAACCGAAAGACGGCCGTGATAACTTGGCAACTCTGCTGGGGACAGGTAAGTGAGCCAGGCCAGAATTAATTTTTGGCTGTCATTTTAATTGGAAATGGTAAATTTAAATTTATTTATTCGATTCTAATTATTTATCTTTGATTATGTTTGAAGTAAATAGTTGTACTGATGCTTTCTTTCAATAATTTCAGATTCTTGAAAAATTTCCATCTAAGGCTCTATACCCGAGCTCCAAACCCTTTTAAGTGGGGGTGAAAGAGACACTCTCGTGAGAATTTATTCTCCGTATGGGCCTAGCAAGTAACCTCCGGGATTCATATACCTTATGCTTTCGAGTGAATTTATTCTCCGTATGGGCATAAGGGAATGTATTCTCTCGAGTTTAACTTAGTCCACATAAGCTTGTAATGGGCTTAGGACTAAGGATCTGGCAAGCCCAAAGGGGCACCAGTAAGGAGAACTCGAGTACCATTTTAGAACCTAAACATGGAGACTACAGGGAATTAGAGCCCACCCCAAAACCTTATTTCAAACCATAGGCTATTTTTTTCCTGCTTTATTTCCTGTTCAAAGCATGTGAACTAGAAATTTATGCGGTTATGACTTGTTCAAAATCAACTTG